ACTAAGTGAGTGGCACACTCCCCATCTAACAGGAACAACGTTTAGCTTCCCCTCACAGCTGCCATGTTGGAATACAGAACCCACTGCAGCCAGAACTTCTAGCTTGTGAAGAGAAGCTGGAAATGTTAGTTTTTCTGTAAAATCTCCTAATTTCAAAATGTTGACCCAAATTTCCTTTTAAGAACCAAAGTCGTATTTAGCTGATGGGTCATCACAGCTAAGTGACATCTGCTTTATTCAAACATTAAACATTTCACAGGATGGAATGCCTCCTGATAATCTTGTATTCAGGCCCAACTACCAGTATAATTTATAGAAACATCCCTGAAAAACGTTTAGCTTTTTACAGTGCCCAGAGCTTCTAATTATTTCGGTCAGAAAAAAATGATGATATTTTCTTCATCATAACTTTGTTAAATACAGACTACTTTTTTTTTTTAACTTTGATGTGTTTAAAATGTCACAATATCTATCTGGACATTTTTATAATTATTAAATATTCTGTGCTTTAGGTGTCTTCATGTCAAGAGGTTAGTAAACATATTGGATAACTCAGCTCTGCCAATGATTTTTCACTTCCTTTTTGTTGTTGACAGAATGGTCAGCTGTGAAACAATATGTACAGCACAAGGCTGAGATGTGATTATGTTACCATCAGTCAGAAAAAACATTTTTGACGTGTTTGCTTTTCAGATGGTAAAAAAAAAAATACTGTAAATTCTTTATTAGAAATTGATTCTTCTCTACAAGTACATGTTTTTTTAGCTTTTTGAAATACTTTTTATTATAGAAAGTTTCAAATAAATATAGAGAAAATAGTGTAATGAATGCCTACTTCTGTACCCATCACCCAGCTCAACAATCAACTCATTTTTCTATTTCATTTCTATTCTCCTCACTCCTTTGACCCCTCCAGATTATGTTGAAGCAAATCCTAGACATCATACCATTTTATTCATACATAATTTTTAAGTTTCTCTAAAAGATTAGGTCTTTTAAAATAATATAAATCTTATTAACAATATCACCCTTAACAAGATAAACATTTGTTCTTTAATATCTACAAGTACATTTGCCACGTAAGTCACTTTAAATTGTGTTGGTAGAAATACACAAAAACTAAAAGCAGAAAAATAGCTCAAAGAACATAGCTTCTATATATGTACGGGCAAAAAACTCACCTTATACAATTCAGTAACCCCTGAGAACATCAGTTTAGATGCAATGATTAATCAAAATTAGGAATCCTGACAATCCTACCCTTCAGATTTGAGCTTGGGTCATCAAGAAAAATCTAAAACTTTTTTAGTTTTTAAAACATTTTTATGTCTGAAAAAGAAAATATGCATTAAAAATTGTTTGCCTCCAAGATTTAAAATAGTTAAAGTTTAGAGTCTTAAAGCCATAAACTTCATTTATCTAGAAAGTTCACATATATGCAACCCCTTTGTTTACTAAGACTGCTAGATTACTGTATTCGACTCCCTAAATGAATATTTATGAAGCACTGATTAGGAGAAATGCAAGGTGTTCTAGTATTGTAATGTATATGATGTCTCCTAAATCTGACAGTAGAAATAATAGCTTTCTTAACTTTTGTAACTCAGACCCTCTGTTAAGGACCTTAAAGTAAAAATGAGTGATTTACAAAAGTTTTTGCAGAAACAAATATTTTCACCGTTAACAGGATACACTAAATTTTTGTTCTTATTTAAATATAGATCTGTAATTTTTATATGTGTATCATTGTTTTTTTTAAAAAACAGAGTCCTTACTGGAAGGAAGCCCTCAACATATTAAAACTGGTGGTGTCTCGCTCTGCAAGTCTTGTTGTGCCCAATGATATCCCTAAGACGTATGGAGGAGATACAGGTTCTCCTGAAATATCCTTCACCAAGATTTTTAATAATGTCTCCAAGGAGTTGCCTGGGAAGACCTTAGATTTTCATTTTGATATATCTGAGGTAGGGTGCTCTACTAGAAATTTTGATTTGTTCATTTATGTCTTCTCTCATTTGACAAGTGTTGATTAAGCTCATACTCAGTAGGAAACGTGATAGGTGCTGTGAAATTGGGGTGGGGGTGGGGTGAAAAGGCCCGTCCTTAGGAAGCATACAGTCCCTTGGGGAAATGGGTAAATAAACATAGTGACAAATGCTTCAGCTGGAACTAAAGTACTGTAGGAAGATACAGCATGTACCTCTAACCTGATCTGGCGTTGAAAGACAGAGTAGCCCTAGGCAAGCATATATGGAAGCTTGGGGAAGGGAGAGTAATGGAAGACAAAGCAGCATGTATGAAGGAAGCCTTGTGTGAGAATTCTGGAAATTCCCAATTTATACCATACCTTGAGCACAGACTATAGAGAATGGAGGTGTAGAGTATGATGGCAGATAATACTGAAGGCGGAAGAAGGGGCAAGATGGCTAGGGATATTGCCTGCATCGTGACAGGATGGTTTTATCTCAAAGCAGTGGGAACTCTTAAATAATTTTTAACTGGAGTGGAAATTGTAGGATTTGCATGTTGGGACGTTTACTCTGGCAACAGAATGGAAAAATAGACCAGGGTGGAGGGGAGGGAAGTCAATAAGGAATCTGTCCAAATAATTAAAAGATAATGTTGGCATGTCTGGAGGCAATTGTAGAGAAAATGGGAAGGGATGGTTTTCAGAACGACTAAGGAAGCCATAAACAGTGTTTGATGGGAAGGAGAGAAACTGCTGAAGAGGAGGCATCAAGGATAGTTGCTTTGACAACTGCCTGAACGTTGGTACCTTTGAGAGAGAAGGAGGCCAGGAGAGCAGATCTTCACAGGAAGGGGAGAGAGAGGAGATCAGCCTTGGATATACCGATTCTGAACATGCCAGTGGTGCTGCCTAATAGGCAATTGGAGTTTATGTTTTAGAGGAAACCTTGGGTGGAAGTAACAGTTTAAGGTCTTCAGTGTTTTATAAATGGGCAGTTACAATTGTGAAAGGAAAAATAAGGCTAGAAGCCCAGTATTTTAAAGGGAGAGGCAGGGCCCACGAGTGCAGAAGGGAGCCCGGGCTCTTAACTATGTCACGTTAACACAAATCTCATATAAAATTGTGTGACTCTTGCTGGGAACCCCTAGTTTTGTTTTTTTCTTCCAGCACCCGAGCGCATTCTTACTGGCCTTGGAGCCATTAAAATAGTCTTTTAGAAGCCAAAGAAGGAATTTTTCAAGAAGGAAGTTCCTGAACAAAACTATTGCAGGGAAGTTGAGGAAGATAAAAATGGAAGACCTAATTTCTTTAATATTATTGATTAGAAGCCTATAAATTAAAAAAAATTATTTTGCTGTTTAGTCTTGGTATTAGAATTTATCCAAAACTTTATGGGTCATGTTTTTTAGATAGAAACCATGTTTACTGCTAATTTAAAAAAAAATTTAATATCTATTCCTTTTTGAGAGAGAGAGAGAGAGAGCACAAGTGGGGGACAGGCAGAGAGAGAGGGAGACAGAATCCAAAGCAGGCTCCAGACTCTGAGCTGTCAGCACAGAGCCCGACGCAGGGATCGAACCCACCAGCGGTGAGATCATGACCTGAGCCAAAGTTGGACACTTAACCGACTGAGCCACCCAGGCGCCCTGCTAATTTTTTAGTTAGTATCAGAATATCTATCATGAAGTCGATAGTATAGGAATATGATAGAGCAACTGGGCTTTCCTGTTTCTTCTGAGTCAGAAATTGTAACTGAATTATCTTGTCTAAAGCAGTGATAAGAACTCTAAAAACACATGATATACTTAATTTCAATTTGTTTCTTCAAAAATTACTAAGTGCCTGCCATGTACAGGCATTGGAGTAGAGGAGCAGAGATGAATTACACAAGGTCCAGGGATTCAACATGCACTGGGGAAGACAGCCACATAAACAAATCACCAACACAAGTGTAATTACCCAGATGTTTGGTATCAGAGAAGGCCTGATAGTCTGGAGTCCCCATTAAAAGATGATCATGGGTTTTGGTTGGTGAATATTCCGTGCAGAGCATCAGCATGTGCCAAAACATAGGTCCGTAAAAGCAAGGTGTGTTTGGAAAGCAATAGCAGGTTCCATTTTGCTGCAGTGTGAGGTTCAGGCGGGCCTGGTGAAAGTTGAGGTTAGGGAGGTGAGCAGGAACCCCACCGTAAAGGGACTGTATGCCATGCACATGAGCTCGAATATTACTTCCAAATGTAAATTCAAGACACTTCACACAGCCAAAAAATAAATATGGATGAATTTTGGATAATCATAGAATTTTTACTGGAATAAATTTGGCAATGTTACCCATCAGATTTGTAATGAGAAGCTACATAGATGCCTTCCTCTTTGGAATTGTTACTTAGCTTGAATATTTACCAAAGCACATGACTGAAGCGCATGTAACAGTATACATTGAAAAAACACCGAAATGTTATTAGATTAAAACTGAATGGTAAGATTACAGGTGTTTTTTTAAAAATCACTTTAATATTTTCTGAGCTTTCAAAGAGGATATATATTTCATAATCATGGGGGAGGGGTGTAGAGGTGGTGGATTTTTTTGTCTTTTTGCCTCAAAAAGTGACATTTATTCGAAGGAGAAAAAATGACTGGAAGTCCTTCCTTTGTCTCCCTTCTCTCCCCGCTCCTGCTCCTCTTCAGCCACCTCAGGCCTGAACCCTGTGTAGGGCTAGGTCCAGGACAGCCCCTCAGGTAAGGTCAGCAGCGTTGAGGGGCCTCTCCTCAGTGGAGGTGTTGTAGAAGGTCTCGATGTCTCAAAGAGTCTTCTTGTCCTATGTCACTGTGTTGACACCACACCTTCACATCCACATCATTCACCACGACCGAGTCTGTGGATGTAGTTTTCCCTGCTGGTGGGAAGGTCATAGTTGATGACTAAAGAAACCTGTCGCACGTCAGTGCCTCTGGCCTAGGTCAGGGGAGAGGAAAGCTTCAACACAGCAATGAGAAGAGCACACAGTCTATTCAGAAGAGACTGGAGTGTATGTGCTAGGCAGCCAAAGGAAGGCAAAGGAAACAAACATCCCCTCTTACTCAACAACCTAAGGCGTGCCAGATTTTATTCCAACTTGCTACTTTCCTGAAGAAAGCATGAAGATGGTGGTTTTTAAAGAAAGCAGATGTCTATTTAAAATAGGAATGAGTAGGGGCTCAGTCAGTTAAGCATCTGACTCTTGATCTTGGCTCGGGCCATGATCTCACGGTTCACAAGTGCAAGCCCTGCATCGGCCTCTGTGTGACCGTGTAGAACCTGATTGAAGTTCTCACCCCTCTCTCTCTGCCCTTAACCCACTCGTGCTCTCTCTATGAATAAATAAACTTAAGGGGCACCTGGGTGGTGCAGTCAGTTAAGCACCTGACTCTTGATCTCAGCTCAGGTCATGATCTCAGGGTTTGTGAGTTCAAGCCCCATTTCGGGCTCTGCACTGATGGTGCCGAGCCTGCCTAGGATACTGTCTCTCCTTCTCTCTGCTCCTCCTCTGCCTGTGCTTTCTCTCTAAATAAATAAATAAATAAAACTTGAAAAATAAATAAACAAACAAACTTAAAAAGAAAATAATAAAATAGGAGTGAGCCTTCTGCTAGTTTTCTCAGAGTCATTTTCAATGAAATGAAGTCTCTTGATTTAAAAAAAAAAAAAAAAAAAAAGACATTATGGGATACCTGACTGGCTCAGCTGAAGCATGCAACTCTTTAAAAATATTTTTTTAATGTTTGTTTATTTTCAAGAGAGAGAGCATAAGTGGGGATGGGGCAGAGAGAGAGAGAGAGACGCAGAATCCAATACAGGTTCTAGGCTCTGAACTGTCAGCACGGAGCCCAATGCGGGGATCAAACCCGCAGACTGCAAGATCATGACCTGAGCTGAAGTCAGATGCTTAACCAACTGAGCCACCCAGGAGCCCCAAAGCATGCAGCTCTTGATCTTGGGGCCATGAGTTCAAGCCTCGCATTGGGTATAGAGCTAGCTTACTTACTTACTTACATACATACGTACGTACATACGTATGTATGTACATACATAAACTTTATTTTGTTTTAAATGTTTTTTATTTAGTTTTTAGAGTCAGAGAGAGACAGCGCAAGCAGGGGAGGGTCAGAGAGATGGAAACACAGAATCTGAAACAGGCTCCAGGCTCTGAGCTGTTAGCACAGAGCCCGACAAGGGGCTCGAACCCACGAACCATGAGATCATGACCTGAGCTGAAGTCAGACGCTTAACGCTTAACCGACTGAGCCATCCAGGCACCCCTAAATAAATAAACTTGAAAAATAAATAAATTTAATGAAAGACATCATTACATTTGATTTTTGTAACATCTACTTCATGCTAAGTAATCTTTTCTTCTTTTGCCTTTTTTTTGGTTGTGTGTAAAAAAAAGTTATCCTAATAGATCCACTACTAATCCTTTTATATTGAAATATCCGAGTCAAACACTGTCCTTTTTTGTTTCTGTGCAGACACCAATTATTGGAAATAAGTATGGGGATCAGCATAGCGCAGCTGGAAGAAACGGGAAACCCAAAGTTATTGCAGTCACGAGGAGTACTTCTTCCACTTCTTCTGGCTCTAATTCTAATGCCTTGGTTCCTGTCAGCTGGAAAAGACCGCAGTTATCACAGGTATGTTAAAAAAAAAAATAAAAACTGAACGTCTGTAGCAGAATCAATTTTGTTGTATGCATGGCAGCTTGAGAATTTGTCTTATTTATCAGTTATCCTAACATTTGCATTTTTTCCCCCTTAGCGAAGAACAAGAGAAAAGCTAATGAATGTGCTTTCTCTCTGTGGTCCAGAATCTGGCCTTCCAAAGAATCCATCGGTGAGTAGTGATGGTCACATGCAGAAAGGCTGTAAAAATCTTGTTACTTTATTCTTAAAAATGGAAATTATGCTGTCTCTTTGCTTACCTTTTCCAACTTCCCTTATTCTTTGGTATTAACTAAGAATGAAAAAGATACTGGCCTCCCTGGCACCTGGCAGTTACGGTAATGAAGTACTCAACCAGTTAGACTTTTTCATGAAACCAGATTAAAGCTCTGAATTCATTGGCGCATGAGGCGTGCAGTGGCTCTTCAGGCACCAGTGGCTAATATGCAGCGTCACAAAGCTGACAGGTGGCCTTTTTTTTTCCTTTCTCTTTTTGGCCGGGGCTCAGGTTGTATTTTCTTCTAATGAGGATCTGGAAGTTGGTGACCAACAGACCAGCCTAATTTCTGCAACAGAAGACATGATCCAAGAGGAAGAAGTAGCTGTGGAAGACAACAGCAGTGAACAACAATTTGGTGTTTTTAAGGATTTTGACTTTTTAGATGTCGAACTGGAAGATGCAGAGGTGAGGATGGGGGCCCTCTGTTACCATATTTATAGCTTACAGTTGCATGTATATGAGAATTTAGGATTTGACCATAGCATCTTTTCTTATTAAGGTCAGTGTAAGGTTAAGAAGGTAAAAATCGGGCTAGATGGGGGATGGGCATTAAGGAGGGCACATCATGATGAGCTCTGGGTGGTACACGTAAGCGATGAATCACTAAATTCTACTCCCAAGACTAATACTAGCCTATATGTAAACTAACTAGAAATTAAATACAAACTTGAAACTACAAATTAATTAAACAAAATTTTTTTAAAGGTAAAAATCTAAATTGGGAAGTACACGTGACTAGTACAGTTGGTCAGTAGGAGAAGTAGTCTGAAACAAAAGAGGAACATCTAATTTTTACTTTTTGCCCCCAAATATAAAAAATGAAAAATGGGTTTCTTCCAAAGCTATGTCTTTAGAGTATGCTTATGTTTCGAATGAAACTAATATGCAGCAAAATGGTAAAAAGTTATATTAAAATTTATCAAACGCTATTTTAAAGTATAAGTACAAACACTTAACACTAAATTAAGTTAAATAGATGAACTCATATGATTACGAAGGCCTTGGCTCTCTAGAACTCTCTCCTGTGGCAACTGACTGAGATGCTACCTGCGACATCGTCACTGTTTTCTTCTTTGTGATGTAGCCAGCCCCCTCACATGACTCATCTCACTCAGCACCAAGGGGCTCTCTCCTCTAAACTGATTCAATCTAGATGAAATTGATAGGTATGGGTCAGTTTAGATGATTTCGAAATGAAAAATCGAACTCAGAAGGCGGATTTACGAGCTTACAAAACTGCGGTAGTCCCGAGTGTTAGAGCTCAGGGAGGTCTCTGATCATTTCTCTGTCGTTGGCTAGGCTCCGCCCTTCTCCGCGAGTCTCTGTCACGTGGTTAGGTCCACACGCATCAGTGTTCAAAGCAAGTGAGGGCCACTTCAGAAATGCTCTTGTAACGGTGAAAAGTTGCTATCCTAAACGCCTTTAGCACATGTCTGTCATATTACCAGGTCAAACTGGGACATTTGCCAATTTCGGAAAAGTCATTGTGGCAAAGAGAACAGGGTTGCCCTGAGTGTGTTGGGCTCGTTAGGACCTAGTCCTGTAGCTCAGCCCCTGAAACTTGCAACTCCTAAATCTAAAACATTTGTCACAAAGGTTTCAAAAGCGTTCGTTCTACAAATGTTTACAAAGACCTATATTTGAGAAGGCCAGAATGCCTTGTCATCTGGTATTCATCCATCCCATGCCACCGACAAATCTTTCTCCAAAGAATTTAAAGTCACTCATAGAACTCCTATGCATTGATTAACCCTCTTGAAGGGATGTTTGCTTGGGCCCTGATAGGCGAGGGGGGTGGAATGTAACGGCCTGCGCCGTGTCACACTGCTCGCCATGGGTAGGAGGCCAGTTTAAGGAGGTCCCCTACGTGCTTCATCCTCCCTGCATACAGGAGGGTATGGCCACGGCGGCTCGGGCAAACCAAATGTCTCTGTACTCAGCATGTATGTGTCCCCAAAAGACACATGTACAGGTTCACAGGAGCCCCCAAGCAAGCATTATTCAGCCTCACAGGGCAGTGGCTTTTAACCTCTTTTTTTTTTTTTTTTTTTTTAACCGTGATCCCTAGCTAAGACATTTTCCATCACATCCAAGTAGATACACACACCTTTAAAATTAAACTTCCAAGAAGATGCAGCTGTGTGGTACCTCACTGGCTCAGTCAGTGCAGCATGCGACTCATGGTCTTAGTTGTGAGTTCAGGCCCTGCTCTGGGTGTAGAGATTACTTAAAAAAAAAATGAAAAGAATCTGCAGCCTCAGCCTATAGTGTCATGTGCACCAATATTTCCTATTCTTTCATTTTTTCCCCCAACATGGCAGATCACTGCCCTCTCAAATTGATTTCACATCCCCGATTTCAAAAATGTGTTGTAAGAAGTAGGATTGGCTTAAATAATCAGTGTGATAGCTTGGAGAGGCATGCTGCTCAACCTCAAGGGCGGGAGCTGCTCCTAAACGCTCCTGCAGTTATTTGCTTTTTTCAGTTGAGAGTTTAAAGCTTCTAAAGGCAGGCAGGCTCTTGACATGTTTGTAATGGGAAGGTGATGTGTTGTTTACTTTTTTTTGTCTTTTTTTTTTTTAAGACCTCTGTAAATGGGTTCCGAGTTTATCCCGTAGCCTAATACATCAGTACTAAGAAAGATGGCTTTTGAACAGAACCTTAGTCAAATTGAATCAAAGACACTTAATGTAGCTTTGTCTTCAAGTCACAGTGATTTGGGTGGTGGGCGGTGTTCGTTTATGCCTCATAATTAGGCAAATCACATAGTAGAGATTTTTTTTTTAAACCCAAATATAGCCTCGCTTAAAATGTGGCAATAGGAAACACTTTGCTACAAAACAAATGGAACTGTTAATTAAACTTCTAAAACACCCCCCCGAATACCCGCCCACCTTGAAGCCTCCCTGAGTGTAGTCATTCATTCACCAAATAAATATTGAGGGCTGCTACATAATAATATTTGAAATATCTGGTAGGAAGATGACTTTTCAAACTCTGACCTGCAGGGCGTCTAAGACTTCTGGGATGTACCCTGAGTAACAGGCTAAGATCCAAGAACTCCTTATTACCTTTTTCATCCAGAGCAGGTTGGGTTTAGTTCATCAGCTTTGCATGGCTGACTTCCATTTTAAATTTCATTTGAAATAAGTATTCCTTTGCTTTATTTAAA